GGAATCGCCTCCAACGTGATTAACGACCTGAGCCTTTGATGAGGCCTCAGACATATTCCCATTCAGCAGAGAATCAAAGCAGCACGTGGAAGTGATGAGATTTATGGCTACATTGCAAAGAGTTTTATTTTCCTAACTACGCAGACAGAAAAGACATCTTCTCTCTGTGAAAGGCAGAGAGCAACTGAAACAAACAAAGGAACAGGAAACCAGCAACGTCACATCTGTCTCCCATGAGACTTCCAACAGCCTGGACTGTCTCTGAAATGTAAACAGAGTCTTGTGACTCTAAGCAACTGCACAGTGGCACAAACAGAAACTAACAAGGTCCGGTCGTGGCCGACTCTGAGGTTGCGGCGCTCATCTCACTTTATTGGCCAAGGGAGCCGGCGTACAGCTTCCGGGTCATGTGGCCAGCATGACTAAGCTGTTTCTGGCAAACCAGAGCAGTGCACGGAAACGCTGTTTACCTTCCCGCCGGAGTGGTAGCTATTTATCTACTTGCACTTTGATGTGCTTTCGAACTGCTAGGTTGGCAGGAGCACCTGAGGTACCACTGTATAAAGAAGTATGTGCAAATGCAAAGCAATTCCTGATCCTCATTTGCCCTTTGGCAATGCACATTTTCTCTTATTTGATGATTTGGTCACCCAATATCTGGCTTACTCCCTAATGGCATTTCAAAGCCACCTGAAGGCTTTCTCATTCCATCTGCGTGTGTTGCTTGACTGGCTCACATATTTGGCTTTGGGATAGGACCCTGTCAAGTGATTACTGGGTGCCCTCTCCTCTTGATGGCCAGTGCTGGGAACTGGTTGTGCTGCCCTAAAACTGCCTCTGCAAAAGGCATCAAGGGCCCAGTCAGTATCCCTTTCAGACTGACCAGATCCATGGACAGCAGCGCAGGCTTCCCGAATCCAGGTTGAAAGTCCAATTTTGACAGACTCCACGACTCCACTGGTGGTTGTTGTTTAGTCATTTAGTCGTGTCCGGCTCTTCGTGACCCCATGGACCACAGCACGCCAGGCACTCCTGTCTTCCACTACCTCCCTCAGTTTGGTCAGACTCATGTTGGTAGCTTCAAGAACACTGTCCAACCATCTCGTCCTCTGTCGTCCCCTTCTCCTTGTGCCCTCCATCTTTCCCAACATCAGGGTCTTTTCCAGGGAGTCTTCTCTTCTCATGAGGTGGCCAAAGTATTGGAGCCTCAGCTTCAGGATCTGTCCTTCCAGTGAGCACTCAGGGCTGATTTCTTTCAGAATGGATAGGTTTGATCTTCTTGCAGTCCATGGGTCTCTCAAGAGTCTCCTCCAGCACCGTACTTCAAAAGCATCAATTCTTCGGCAATCAGCCTTCTTTATGGTCCAGCTCTCACTTCCATACATCACTACTGGGAAAACCATAGCTTTTACTATACGGACCTTTGTTGGCAAGGTGATGTCTCTGACTCCACTGGTAGATAATACCATTTCAGTCTTCAGTTCCATCCCCCACCCCACAAAGAAAGTAACCCAGTAAACCTGGCCCAGAAACTTTATCTGTGTGTGTATGTTTGGTTGTACATTGCTTTGGGTTACCTTGGGCAAGATAAAACAACTAACAAATTACGTATTTGGGCGAGAAAAGTCTCAAGTGGAATTAACACCATCTCTCATGGCCAATGTGAATTTATCATACCAAGTGAACTGGAGAAAACAGATACGTTTCATCTATGCCTGTGAAGCAGGCAAGCTATTCGCTAAATTATTGTTCCGTTGAATCTCCCCATTCATCTCACTCAAAGCAAACATTTTCATAAGTCATATTTAATTTTCTGTGACTTTACGCAAGCAGCCCCTTCCTTCCCAACTCCTTTCCGCCAGCCATCATTTATCCTATGTTTGCTGTTGGCTGCCTAGGTCTGTATAAAACCCATTCCTAAAGTGTTTCTTCAAGGGCAAACAGTTATTTCCACCACTCTCCTCCAAGTACATTACTAAGCCGCACTTTGCTCCAGTCCTGTCACCTAACAATTTTCAATTTGGAGAACAGATCAAGCAATAAGATGAAGGGTGAAAAGTTGCTTGTTGTGTGTATAGGCTGAAGCTGGAGGCAGGGTGAACACACATAACCAATAACCCCCTCAACAAATGCCTTGCATGATCCACACCATGGTGAGATGCAATATATATGGGGTTTTTTATATGGCACAGCAGGACGGAGAGGGCTGTTTTCATATGCTGTGGATGGCCTGGGGTCTGTTTTCATGGCACTGAGTACCCAGGCCTGGTGGGATCTCAGGACCCCACCTTTTGTGTAGAGGAAATGACTGCTCCCACATCAAATGGGGGTGCCTTTTGCGTGGCCGCGCACAGCCCCCTAATCCCAGCACGACTCCTGATAGTTTGGGATGGTTTCATCCTCCCCAGGCTGGATACCTGGAGGTCTCCGCCTATCTCTGCCAATCGCCCAATCCCGCCTGGGGAGGTGTTGCCAGGGGATTGGCCAGGTAAGGGGAGGGACCATCCTGCCCACACAACAGAAGGTGAATCTTACCTGCAAAGCAGCAGTTGGCTCCAGAGCTTCTCCCACCTTTCCCTCCCTCAGTTAAGTCTTCTTTTGCAGGTTAACCTCTTCTCCACAGGTACGCAGGCGCTGCTACGTCAGGGTCGCTGCTGAAGGGCCGGAAAGGAATTTTCCTGCATTGGCAGGTTTGCCTTTCCCGTAGCAAAACGTCACAACTTTGGCGGTTTCAGGCCTTGGGCAGAATCCTTTAGTCTATCTTCCTAAATGTGGGGTGTGTGAAGTGGTGACCCATGCCCCCTTTGCAGCGATGATACCAGGGTTCCCCATTAAAGGGGTCTTGAAGGGAGGCATTGGTCATACACCATTAGGTTGTCATTGCTCTCCCCTCCAACGGCGGCGAAACGGGGGGCGGGCTCTCTGCTTAAACGTATGTTCTACAGAGCCAGCCCAATTCCCACACACTCTGGATAATCCTGAAGTCTCCCAGATCCCCGGCTGGGGACTGGGAAGGATAAACGCTCAATGCCTGAGCCAAGGTCTCCCTACATCTGAAACTTAATAAAGTTGTGGCCAATTTTAATCCCATAGTATAATGGTATGGGGTTGCTCGTGCGTAAGTTGCCGCCTCTCCTGGCTATGTTGCCTTGTTAAACCTTTCTGTCTGGACAGCCCTTCAATTCGTGGCTGCCTCAGTCGCTAGCAGAATCCGTCAGTGGGCGTTTCTTAAACCTTTTCCAACATAAAAGTTGTTTGACACCCAGTCTCCTCCTACTTTCTCTGCGTGGAAGTCTTCTGCGCAGGGAGGGCGTGGGTAGCGGAGGACCAGTGCTCTCCCCGCTGGTGTCCGGTGAAGAGTCTGGGAGCCCTCTCGCCGATTCCCCCATCTGCCCCTCCTTATTCCTGGTGTTGCACTGAATAGCTTCCCCATCTGCTGAGCTGCCTCTCTCCCTGCTGGGCCCTTCTCCAGCATCATTAGAGAGCCTTCCCTCCACCTCTAGCTCCGATGTCAGTTCCCTGACACATAGCATGTTGTCTTGAGTCATTATTCCGCTTGGGGGGTTGGGGGGACTCCACCTGTCCACACAAAGGTATCTGTGCCTTGCTACCTAAGCATGCCCCGTTGCATTCAGTTCCTTGTTGCAGGTTTTTAGCTGTGCTATTCCAAGAACTTGCAGGAGGAAAATAGATTCTTCTCTCCCCACAACTTCACAGTGCTGAGCCCTGGTGTTGGCTCTGATAGGAGAAGGGAGAGAGGAACAAATGTCTCATTGTCCCAGCAGTTTGGGACGACTCCTGACTGCTGCCAAGAGTAAGAAGAGAGAGCTAACAGTTATCTTGGGTCTTAGATCTAAGGTAGTAAGCAGTGATCAGAAAACGCTTTCAGCTGCATGCCTGTCAAGAGCTCAGCCTACACTCGAGTAGGACCCTGGCAGAGACACATGCCCAACTGGCATGTTCTCTCCCTCCTGGTCTTTCATTCGGAAGCTTCAAAAGCTTTCTTCTACCCAAACATCACAGCGACCGATGCCAACCAACACCGGCACACTTAGGGATCTGCAGAGTTTGTGCAGTTCGCGTGACAGATCTCAGCAGCTCAGCATTTTGGCTAATGTACTTTATTTACATATAAACACACACGGAGCACTGCAACATGTCTCCCTCTCTCTCTAGCATCAGACAGCAAAGAGGAAAAGAACAAAGGACAATAGTCCCACTTCACGGAACACAGTAACATAAACATCCTGTCTCCGTCACTTCCCACTCTGCGGAGTCAAAACATATATCGTCATGTGATAGACAAAAACCCCATGACTTCAATCACGGAGCAGGAATTCTAACAATGCCAAGGTCCCGTGCCCCCACAGTATTGATTAATAACACAGAGATGCAAATATTTAGGTTAATGGGCTGAAACAGGCCACAACTTTATTGATTACAGATTTGAGAGATTTGGCTTAGGCACTGGGTGAAGCCAGGCTATATCTTGACTCCGGCCCATCTGCAGATTGGCCAGGCAGACATGGCGTGGCTCAGGGTTGGTGCCCCCGAGCCAGATCACCGTGATGGCCCAGATGCCCAGTCACAACACCGCCTACCACGAAAGGCGAGCGGCCTTGTTAGAAAGAGCCTGCTGGGTCAGGCCAATGGCTCATCTAGTCCAGCATCACAGTGGCCAACCAGATGCCCGCGGAAAACCCACAAGCAGGATTCAAGCACAAGAGCGCTCTTCCCGTCTGTGGTTTCCAGCAGCTGATAATTCGGAAGTGTTGCTGCTTCCAGTTGTGGAGGCACAGCATAACCTTCAAACACCACGCCCTGCTAAGCCGAGTGTTTGAATGACAGTTTAGTTTCCTTTCATGCGGCCCAAGCAGCCCTTAGATCAGGGGTGGGGAAGACAAGGGCCGCTTTCCCATCTGGCCAGTCTTCTGAGGGCCACAATGCAGTGGTGGGCAGGGCCAGAGGGGAAAGTGGGCAGCACAAGGAGAGTAAATTTCACCTTGGTTCAGCTCAGCTGGTATGGGCATGGTGCTGATGATGCCAATTTTTCAGGTTCAATCCCTGTATTGGGACAGCTGAATATTCAGGTTGGACTAAATCATGGGTAGGCAAACTAAGGCCCGGGGGCTGGATCCGGCCCAATAGCCTTATAACTCTGGCCCATGGACAGTCCAGGAATCAGCATGTTTTTACATGAGTAGAATGTGTCATTTCATTTAAAATGCATCTCTGGGTTATTTGTGGGGCATAGGAATTCGTTCATTTCCCCCCAAAAAAAATATAGTCTGGCCCCCCACAAGGTCTGAAGGACAGTGGACTGGCCCCCTGCAGAAAAAGTTTGCTGACTCCTGGACTAAATGATCCTCAGGGTCCCTTCTAACTGTTATGAATCATGATAAGGTTGTCTTTTCTTTTTCTTTCTGCATTTTTGAGGTCCAGTCTGTTTTGTAGTCTGTGCTCAAGACTCTGGCCTTAAATGGGAGGAAGATCTATTGTAATCAATGCTACTACTCTACTGCTACTTAGATAAGAATCCCAAGCACATTGAAGGGAGCAGGCCCCACTGAAGAGACTGGGATATACTTCTGAGTTGGTATGGAGGAGAGGAATATAACTGGTATTGGACTAGATTTAGGATTTATGGGGTAGCTGTGCTCATATATAACAAGAAAAGGGAAGAAAAATAGGCTTAGTAGATGTTTCTTGGCTTCAGAGTCTCAGTTGCTTAAGGCTGCCCTCTGTCTGCTTTCCCCTAGTTAGCAAACCCTGTACTTTGAAATAAGTGACAATCACCTTGGATCACAGCATTTCCCTGTTTCTTGAAAATAAGAGAGAGAACACAATGGGTTTAATCAGGGCAGCAGAAGAACTAGTTAAGCTGCAGTCTTACACACTTATCTGAGTGGGACTTAGTTCTGAGTCGGCATGTATAGGATTACACCGTAAATTGTCCCGCTGTAGAATTAGAATGATCAAAGCCATTATTTACTCTCTCTACCAGTGAAGCATGCATAACCCTGTTGGATAGCAGCCAAAGGCGCTGTGGGAAAATTGCTGCCAGAAGTTGCAGCCATTTATATCCTGCCATTCCCCCAATGGGTCCAGGGTGCCAATGATGGGCTCTGCCCATTTCTAAATTCTCACAACAACCCTTTCAGGTAGATCTTTTGTGGGGGTGGGGATGAGTTTCATGGGTCAGCATGGACTTGAGCCCAGGTTTCCCCAAACCAAGCCTAAAACTTTTCGCATTATGCCGCCAAAATGACTAGGTAGATCATAGTACAATGAGGACTGCATGCATTCTTCCCACCTTTATTCATGTGTTTCATAGAAGCATAGAGCTGGAAGGGACCACAAGGGTCATCTAGTCCAACCCCCTGCAATGCAGGAATCTTTTTGCCCAGCTTGGGGCTCAAACCCATAACTCTGAGATTGGGGACTCAGCTATACAGCTGCAAATATAGCGTTTTAAGTGCATTATACAAATGTGACACTAGATGGTGCTGGTGGGCTAATGGCAAATTCCATATATATTTTAAAATGTATGTTTGTTTTAAAAAAGCATTTTCACAGTGTTCTTATATATGCATGGATTCAGCCTAAGAGTCTCATGCTATAGCCAGTGTAAAAAATATCAAATCACATTTGCTCTCTTTTCCTTCTTTAGTCTTTTGTGGCATTTCTCATCTCTGCCATATTGATACTCCAGTGATATAAACGCAAGTCAGGCTTTCTTAATGCCCTGTTTTGCCTGTTGTATCACCTTCTAGATGGCCTCGGTGAAATCAACAATGCAACTGCTTAAGTGTAATTAATGTCCACCTGGACAAACAACTAAAGCTGTCAAGTCTCAGGTGCAGAAAAGATATTTGTGGGTGGAAGCTTTTAGGTTCTTTATGTTGTTCTGTTCTTGTTGCCGCCTCAAAGCATGATGAAACCATCTAGTTGGTGTTGAGCCACTTGGGGTCCTTCTGTAAAAGGTGGCGATTGCTCATTCAGCTTTTAGTACTAACAAATGTGGGTGAAATGGCTGAGTAAAAGAAGGGATGGTGTGCCTTACTGACTGGCACTGGCTCACTAAGATCCCAGATGGCAGTATCTCCAAGTCCTTCCGAGAGATGCTAGGAACTGAATCTGCACTCCAAGTATGCAAGGCTCTACCCCTGAGCTAAGCTACAGCAGTGGCACAGCATGGGGGGCACAGGGGTGGTTGTCCCAGGTGCAAAACTGTTAAGGGTGCAAAATTTCAACCCCTGGTGCTGCCTCAATACAGCTACTTGCTTCTGTCACTGGGCTCCGTTGAATACGGCATCTCCATGCAAACCAGGAAGTAAAAGGCAAAGGACCCCTGGATGGTTAAGTCCAGTCAAAGGCGACTGTGGGGTTGCGGCGCTCATTTCACTTTCAGGCAAAGGGAGCTAGCGTTTGTCCACAGATAGCTTTCCAGGTCATGTGGCCAGCATGACTAAGCCGCTTCTGGCGCAATGGGACACCGTGACGGAAGCCAGAGAACACGGAAATGCCGTTTACCTTCCCGCCGCAGCAGTACCTATTTATCTGCTTGCGCTGGTGTGCTTTCGAACTGCTAGGTTGGCAGGAGCTGGGACAGAGCAACAGGAGCTCACTCAGTCATGGGGATTCAAACCACTGACCTTCCGATCGGCAAGCCCAAGAGGCTCAGTGGTTTAGACCACAGCGCCACCCGTGCTGTTGCCTGAACCAAGAAGTAATCCCCTCCAGACCACGGAACGACTCTTCTTATCTCTGTGGCTGCAAGATTGTCACAACACAAAGCACAAATAGTTGTAACTATAGCCTCTACGTCATCTAAATGGGTACAGTAGGTTAAAATCTTAGCGCAATGCATGAAGCCTTGGGACAGTTCTTGGGCCGGGGGGACTACAGGAGCTAATTGGCAGTGACATATTCTGGAGGTCTGAGCCTTCTGCTCGACAGTATCAATCTGATGCTGTTGATAATGCGAATGCTGGAGCAAATGTGTTAGCTATTTACCTGGAGTATTGATAATTGGCCAGCTCTATTGTCAATGGGTATTCTCCCCCTGCTGTGTCTCTGATCCTCATGTCAGAATAATTGATTAAGCCAAGTCCCCCTTTTCCAGATGCATGCAGTATTTGGTTATGTAATAGGTTTTCTTCCATTTGTTCTCTCCAGCATTAAACCGCTCAAGGGACTATGGACCTCTCAATATATCCTTTTTGTTCTCCATTCACTGGGGTGATTTGTGTTCCTGATTTGTGCTGTGATGCTATTGAGGCCAAAATAGTGGTATCGGTGTGAGGAGGCTAGTGGCAGCACAGTAGGATAGCTATTTGGGATTTGCCCTGGCCTGTTCCGGCTGTTCCTCTGCAGCTTGCCTGGGCTATCCACCACCTGCACCACTTACCTGAGCTGCCTCCTTGCTCACTTGCCTCTCTGGGCTGTGGGCCTGCTTTTAAGTCATCCTGCAGCAGTTTGCCTGGCCACCTACTGGTGACCACATGAACTACAGCATGACGGCATCCTTACAATTTTAGTATTGAGGGAGAAATGAAATTGTATATCTTTTCTTCCAGATAAGAGTTTGAATTGTTTGCGCATAAACACGTAGCATAAGAAAAGGTCTGCTGGATCAGACCAAAGTCCCATCTAGTTCAGCATTCTGTTCTCACAGTGGCCAACCAGACGTCTGTGTGAAGCTCACAAGCAAGTACTCTTCCACTTGTGATCAAAGCAACTGGTATTTAGAAACATACTGCCTCTAATACTGGTGGTGGTACATAGCCGTTACGGCTACTAGCAGTCAACCAGTTGTAGAAAAACTAAATAATTGACATTCCCCCACTGTTTATGGTACCCCAATTTCTGCTCCCTGAGATAAGCAGTATCACCCAGGGAAATGGTAGGGCTAGCCGTGTGTGTGTGTGTGTGTGTGTGCGCGCGCGCGCGCATGTTTTTTCTGGTGGAAAAAAAGATTCCTACTCCAATTTTCCGCGATGTTCATAATTAGTACACAGCTCTTAAGCTACCCTTGAAAGAAAGATTTGTGCCAAATAGGTTCCCTTAGAAAATAAGGCATAATTGGAGGTGAAAGTTGTTTCAGCAGCAGAAATAGTCCCTTACCCAGCTCTCATCTGAAAATCCGGATGGCGGCAGATGAATCCCCAGTACTTGCAAGCCCTACTCTTCACTACTTGAACTTGCTGAGCCTTTAGGGGGTGGAAAGCAGAGAATGGCATCTAAGGATTTGGTTCATTAAAGGACACATGTACAACATAAGACCATCTTCGCCTGTGCATGTCATTGGTGGTGCTTTAGCATTCAAGCTGTCTTGAAGGTTTATAGAGGAGGTTGCCAGCATGGTGCCCGCAGGACCTCATGTGCCTCCAAAGGCCTTTGCTGGCACCCCATGAGGATCCTGGGTACAGCATCTCCTACTGAAATGTGGCCTTCCTTTGTAGCCTATAGAAGGCCTTTTTCAAACCTAATTGCAGTGGGGGAGGGGTGATTTTTTACAGGGCCACAGGTTTGATGGAGAAGCTTAACCCTTTCTTCCCAAACCCTGACTGACTAAACCCTAAGCTGCCAAACCCCACAGCAATTAAGCCTGGTGAGGATGGAACTTTCTACTGGTCTTATAAGCTGGTCTCCGACCGTAATAAATTATCTATCTATCTATCTATCTATCTATCTATCTATCTACTGGTCAAAGGAGAGAGGTGTTTTCATTGGGGGGACTCACACCTGGGGGGAGTGAACTATTTGCTTCCCAGTTGTGATCCCTACCAATTGTTCCTCCCCAGTAGCAATTAGTATTGGAAAAGATTAACCTTTCCTTCTCAGCTGCACTCTCCAGGAAGCTACCCTCCCCACCAAAAAAAGAATATTAGGCTTGGTGGGGAGAGGGAGCTAAAACATATTTTTACATCTGTGGGTTGTGTGGGGAGGAGAGTGGCTATTGAACTAGGTGGCAATTGGGTGCTTTCTAACACGGGGGAATTTGTTTGTTGCATTTATAGTGCACAATCCTCAGTTAATCCCAACAACCCTATGAGGTAGTTTAGGCTGAGAGGC